GTTTTATGAAGAACAAACTGAGAAAGGAAAAATTCAAAATGCATGATTCAAAGACTAAAGGGGTACAAGGAAGTGGAATGGAGCCCCTGTGCTCAAGAATATTAAATGGAGTTAAGGGAGTGGTGACCACAGGGAAAGATACCACTCACCCAAACTTATTATTTATATGATTGCAGTTAAACAAGTTATTATAACCTGGGTATTGCTTTCATTTAGACATAAGGAGATACTATTGTGTGTCAAGTTGACAAGGGATGGATTTCGATGACTATTCTCAGTTGTCAACCTAAGTATGGAATGAACTGCAATCCGGAAATATAGGGCACACCTGTGATCCAGATCTTGCAGCATAGGGGATTAAAGGAATTAAAGAACATCTTACGTCCATGTGCCTTTAATCCTAGGAGCATAGGCAAGCAGATTTCTAAGTTCAAGGCCAGCCTGGTATTGAGCAAGTTCCAGGTAAAGAAAAGCTTACGTCCAGGCATGGTTTCATTTCACATTAAACACATGTACGTCCAGAACATGTGTTTAATCTTAGCATTCAGGAGAAAGAGGCATGTAGATCTCTGAGCTCAAGGTCAGTCAACAGAGTAAGATCTAAGATAGGCAAGTTTAGTCAGTGAAATAAGTCATCAAAAACAGAAAACCTGTGAAGAAGTAATAGAACAAGAGGGCCAAGTTCCCGCTCCAGCAAGCTGCAGAACTTAGAAGCTTCAACCACATGGCTCTGATTTTGGAGTCAAGAATGAAAGCAGTTACCTTGGACAATTGATACTAGTTAGCTAGAACTACAAAATTAGCGAAGATAGCAGCGTCACCAAGGTCACTTTCCTGGGAAGTGTTTTCTGAGCTCACAAGAAAGCTGTGTTCCAGAGACTGACCTTGCTCTGACAGCCAGACTTGGTAATTTGTAAGAATCACCCAGGTGGTACAGGTTTTGAAGTCATGAAGGGGTCATAGGAGAGAGCAGCTGAGACTTGGCACTTGTGAGAGGCCAGGAATGGCCATTAGTGAGGGTGAAGCCTCCGTGGCATCTGAAGGTCCAGAATTGAAATGGTAATGCAAAATAGTTGAGGTTTAGCACTGTGGCAAGAGCCTGAGAGGCTGTTGGTGAATATACAGTCTAATTGCAGCACAGCATATTGGAGAATCCAGTAGCACTGGATGACCATGAAAAACAGTAGCAGCAGTGGAGTAGACTCAGCCAGAGCCTAGATTGCTACAGATAGAAGAGCTGGAGACATTTGGAGGAGACCAGAAGATCGTGTGTGGACCCCAAACACTGGGACAAAAAGCTGTCATGTTAAAGACACCTTGGAGACCCCAGAGCCACAACATACCTGCCTAGGAAAGGTGCTAGCAGGGAGTCAAACCAGCCCAAGGGAAAGAATTGTGTTGTAGTCAACAAAGCTGAAAGGAGTTGGACATCAGACAGAGATTCAGAGCCATTACAAGGTCCCCTTCAACTACTGGAAGTCAGGCCTCTATCCCCGCCTTCCCAAGATTAGAATCGCCACAGCCCTTCTATACTTAGAGAAGGGAGGAGATGTCAGGGGCAGCCCTGTTTACACACTGAAGGCCTAAAATCAGCCATAGGCCTAAAATCAGCAATAGGCCTGTCATACATGTATACTAACACAAAGTCTTGGGTCTCTGTGGAAAAACATTGAAACAGATGGCTATAAGCTATTGTAAACAGGCAGCTTTTGTGGAAATCTACAAGCCTGAGTAGTCATAGACCTTGTAAATAGGTAGCCTTGGCAGATAATACCAACTTAGATAAGGTCAAGTGAGTCATAGGCAGAGTCATAGTGACCTGTCCCCTGAACCTTCACCCAGCCGATATCCGGTTCTGAAAGATATCTGTATTCCCCCTGAACACCCACACTCCAGTGTCATTCCCTTCCCCACATCCTGCCTTTCTGTGTTTATAACCCCTGTGTGAATGAATTACGATTTGAGAAAAAAATAAATAAATTATTTTTTAAAAAAAGAACTATGAGAATCCACAAAGCTAAAAGCTTATTTGCTACAATCTATATCTAACCCATACATCATATCAGTGATGAGCAAAACAGATAATTTGTGCCCAAAACACAATTTCAAATGGTTAAAAGGTATATATATAATGTTGTAAATTAATAAGGTGATATACCTTGGATATATCAAAAATATAGACACCAAAAGCAATTAAAATCACAACACATTTTAGGATAAGAAAATAATTGACTAAGAATGAGTTCATAAGGTACTGAAACATTTAAGATTGTCTATTAAAAGGTTAAGTTCCTGTTTTTAAGCAGATACCAGAAAATAGATTCTCAATTATTAATCATCATTTGCTAATTTGTACTCATCTGTAGATTCCATCCAAATGTTTAAAATCTGTATATTATCTTGTATGAAAAAACGTAGGCTTGAACATTGCTTGTTCTGAAGTAAT